TAACGAAGCAGGCTGGGTGGACTTTCTGATCTCCGTAGCTCTCTGTGACCAGAGAAAGGAAAAAGAAACTATTTGCACATCCCTAAGTATAGCATTTAACAGGGCACATCTCCCCCTGCTGGCAGTGATGGTGACAAACTGAACTACAAATATATATAGTACTGAGTCGTTTTAAAAAGAAAGTTCTTCTAGGAAGAAATGGTGCTGCAAAATCTCTCTCCACCACAGGGATCTTGGCCTAGCAGGAACGAGAGCAAAGGTAACAGAACTCATGGCACTAGGAAACTATCAACAGACATGCTGATTTACAAACCCTGACGTGGAGAAGCAAAACTACAGTGATTCCGGAATATAAAAATATTCACCAGCCATTCTCATACATGCTTATCCTATATATCTAATTGCATAAAATCACAGTAAAATTATCCTAACACTTATGTTCATCACTTGGTCTGGCTCATGTGGTTCCATTTATCAAACTTGTCTCTCAAGTTCAAATTATCAATATATAATACTGCGTGGCTGTCTGCTCATAAAGAGGTGAAATCAAGGAAGAATGACTTATTTGTCCCTTTGGAAGATCAAGATAAGGCTGCCTCTGATGCTTTTGCTTCTTTCATTTTTTCCTTTTTTTTTTTTCAACTTAAAATGCATTATGTTCTCACCTATGTCCATTACTGTAAATCTTTTTTTAAAGAATCATTTTAACTTTATTATTATTATTTTTTAATTTAATCAGAAGGAGACAGAGAGAGGGAACATGAGAAAGCAAGCCGCCAGGTCCGGTACTTGAACTGCAGTTAGCCATGTGGACGTCCAGAGCCTTTAACCACGCCACCTGCCAGCCCCACTGTAAATCTTTTTTAAAAGAATTATTTATTTGGAGTCAGCAGGTGGCATAGTGGCTAAGGTGCTGGACTCCCACATGGCTGACCATGGTTTGAGTTCCAGATCCAGCAGCTTGAAACTCACACTGGGTGCATGTGTGCATGCCCGATCCTAAGAGGAGAATGGAGAAGGGACTATGGAATGGTCACCCCCCACCTCCCCACCCCCAGAAGATGACATCTCACTTTCTCTTTCTGTGTCTCCAGCAAGGGCACATGTCCTATAGCAAATATCTCTCTAAAAAAAAAAACAAAAACAAAACAAAAAAAAACTATTTAATTTTATTTATTATTATTTTTAAGAATTATTTTTTAATTGGACTAGAGAGACAGAGTGAGCGAGAGAGAGGGGGAAAGTGAGAAAACAAACACCAGGTCTGGGACTCTTAGTGTGGTTGGCTCATGTGGAAGTCCAGCACTCTTAACCACCATGCCAACTGCCGGCCCCATTATTATTATTTTTTAAAATTTGCTATAGGGCATGGGCACTCACCAGAGAGAGAAAAAGAGGGAGAGAGAGAAAGAGCAAAAGTGAGAAAGCAAGTCACCAGGTTCTGTACACAAACCATGGATGGCCATGCGGAAGTCCAACACCTTAACCACCATGCCACCTGCTGGCCCTGCTGGAAATCTTTACCTGTGCTTCCTAAAGCTTTATCTGTTGGTCTTTTCCTCTTCCAAAAACAAAACAAACAAACTGAAGGTTCTTTTTTTTTCTCCCTCCCTCGATTTAATTTATTAGGTTTTGTTCAAGATCTTTCAGCACTGGGGCCAGAATGTGACGTGATGGTTAAGGAGCTGAACTCCCACATGGCCAACGGCAGTTCAAGTCCTGGACCTGGCAGCTTACTTTCTCTCTCTCTTTCTGGTGAGTGCATGTGCCCTATAGCAAAGTTAAAAATAATAATAAATACAATTAAATAAGTAATTTAAAAAAAAAAAAAAAAAAAAAAAACAGGAACCAGTAGATGGTGGCTGTTGGACTGCCACCTGGTAGACTGCAGTTTGAATCCCAGACCAGCAGCTTAAAACTCATATTGGGTGCATGTGCATTCATGCCCAATATCCTGAGAAGAGAGTGTCATCCTCCCTAGGGGGTGATTTCTCACTTTCTATCTGAATCTCCAGTGAGTGCATGCGACCTATAGCAAAAATCTTTCTGAAAAAAGCAAAAACAAAATGTTTCAGCACATCCCATTGTCTCTCATGTTGCTTATTACAGTATGTCTTGGGACCAGCAGAGGGCATAATGGTTACATCGCTGGACTCCCACATGGTTGATCACAAGTTGAGTCTCAGACCTGGTGGCTTAAAACTCACACTGGGCAGGGACCAGCAATTAGCATAAAGGCTATGTTGCTGGACCCCCTTGTAGCCAACCATGGTTCGAGTCCCGGACCCAGTGGCTTAAACTCATGCCTGGCACGTGTCTGCCGTGTGTGCCAGCCCAAGATTGGAGAAGGGATTGTGGCGGGGGTGATTTTTCACTTTGTATCTCTCTCTCTCTGGCCTCTCTGGCAAGCGCCAGAAAGAATGGGGTGCTAACTGCTGGTTAAGTGGTTAAGGCGCTGAACTCCCACTTGGCTGACCATGGTCTGAGCCCTGGAATCAGAGGGTTGATGCTTGAAAAAAATCACACCAGGTGCCGGTGTGCCCAAAATCCCCAGAGGAGAAAGGAGGGGGAAGGGACTGGAGTGGCCACACACACCCCCAGGGGTGATTTGCCCTGTCTCTTTCTGGTACACATGCTATGGCAAAAACAAAAAGGGGGAGAAAGAGAATGTACCTAAAGCTGTCTGGCTCCAGTTACTTGGTAAATTGTTAACTACTGTTTTCACTCCCTTCATGCCTGAAGCAAAAGCCCTCCAAGAAGGAGACATACTACTGAGACATACTATTTGTTGGCAGTTCATGCTAATAAATACACTCATACCCAATTTTGCATGAGAATCACCTGTGTCTGTAAAACATGATTAACTGTGACCAAGCAGTGTTTAAAAAGGCTTGACTATCCTATAGGACAATTCTCACCACCTAGCTTAGAGGCGCAGATATGATTTTCTGCAATACAGGCAATTTTTTTCTTTTATTTTCCTACTGGGTGCGTGACTCCCTGGAAAAACACAGAGAAATAGAAGTCGTGTCTGTGCCTCCGGGGACCGCATGCTGCAAGTTCTTCCCATTCCTCCTCAAGATTTTGGGCAGG